AAGTATCTACTATAAGGGTACATGGAGCCTTTGGGTTGCACCAGGTACCTAAACCCTTGAGGAAACAGCAACTCGAAAGGCTGCTGTTCACATAGGGTCGCAGGTTTTCGAACTACCAAAACCTACTGTTTGCAAGGTCCACTTTGATTCTCTATGTGGGTTTGTAATAAGGGCCGACAACAAGTGGGATCTCGCGGCATTACGTTCAAATGCCAAGCCCAAGCCCTAAACCCGAACCATGAATCCTTTACAGGGGCCTTTTCGAAAATCACACCTCTAAGACCTAAGAATAACCTAGGAATAAAAAGGTTGCCGTTTTTGGTTTAAAGGGTGTTACAAGGGAACCTGAACCCACAAAAACAGGGAATAAGGGCTTACTCTGGGTCCTAGCACCTCTCTGAGCCTCCGCAAGCCGCAGGCTCTGCGGGTGGTGGGGGTGGTGTACTTAAAGGCTCTTGGGACTTAGTAAGTAAGGTTATAAGTAGGTTATAATTAGGATAACCCCACTTAGGGGACTTATAACCCCAATTATAACCTACTTACTAAGTCCCATGATCCTTCAAGTAGGGTGGTGGATTCCAAGTAAAATTGATCAGGCTACTCTCTAGGTGTGGTGAGGTTTACACGGTTTAGGGTTTCGGGTTTAGGGTTTAGGGTTTTTAGGGTCTATAGGGTTTAGGGTTTAGGGTTTTTAGGGTCTATAGGGTTTAGGGTTAGGCAGCAAAGGACTCATGACAACAGCCCGGGAGCTGTGAGAAGCCAGCAGCCACCAAGTGCAGCTGCGTGTCAAATGTCCTGTCCACCAACACCGCACATAGATTGCGAGAGGCACGAGGTTTCGGGCCCGATTTAACATACTTAGGGGCTGAGTACTCTAGCCCAACAAAGGCTAACCGTCAACCTGTGAAAACATGGCAGGATTATGTAGCCCGAAGGGTCCATGTACCCATATAGAGATACATGGGCCCCAATGTACCTATATAGGGACTACATTAAGGCCAATGTATATATATATATATATATGTATATATATATATATATACTATATGAATACATGGACCCTTAGGGTAGGATTGTATAAGCCCCCCCAAAAAGGTTAATTACAGGTTACATACTCAGCTACTACTAAGCATATACGTATCTTAATTGAGGCCAAAGCGTCATGCACTTCTTGAGATAATTCGTCACCTCAGCCAGGTCCCGCGCCACCTCTTTTGCTTGCTCAACAACCTTGCCACACAGAATTGCGAACCAGGCATTCTCATGAGATTTGGCCACAGGTTTGGAGAGGATGGGCGCCATGCACCGAAGGCAAAAAAAACACGACGGGAATCCAAAGAGACTTGGCTACTGGTCTGGGCCTAGACAGCTGCAGGCGAAAAGAGCCTTCTTGGTTTGGCAATCTTCCAGCACCCCAAAATACTCTACACCCTAAACCCGAAAATAGTAGGATCCTCGTTATATGGGCCCAGATATGAAGGTGCCCTGGCACCCAAGAAACTTGCTGATTTCGGCAGCAAGCACATAGCTATTGCCGGACCGTGAAACTTCGAGAGGGTAGGGCTTTAGGGTTTAGGCTTCACTAAGGGTCCTATATAGGGTTACTTTAAGGGATATCATAAGGGCTCTAGGGTTCCTTTTCGCGCGGAAGAGGAGGGATGAGGGTTTAAGGTTGGGGGTTTAGGCTTCAAGGTTTAGTGAGTCCTCCGAAACCCCAACGAAGATGCCTCTACTCAGAAAACCCCAAAAAGCACTAACGAAGAAATACAGCCAACCTCCTAAAAGCATCCCTGCATACACTCAGCGCTTCTAGGCTTTAGAGTTGAAGCTGTAAGACTCGCAGTTAAGGGCCCTTTTTGTGTTTCCTGAACATCTTCAGCTCCGAGACCTCACCGCAAGAAGGCTGAAGCCCTAACCCTAAACCCTCAAAGCCCTAACCCTAAACCCTCAAAGTCCTGACCCTAAACCCTCAAAGCCCTGACCCTAAACCCTCAAAGCCCTGACCCTAAACCCTAAACCCTAACAGCCCTAACCCTAAACCCTCAAAGCCCTAACCCTAAACCCTAAAGATATCTCGACCTTGAGACTGCCCAGCAAAACAGATCCCATGCAGCATACAGTAGAGGCCAACAAGTTGGAACATCATGATCCTCATGCCCTCAAGGTAAAGTAGAGGGGATCCCGGCACTAATCGTCCTAAATCCATGTTCCAACTTTCTGCGACTCACTATAATATACTGTGCTTGCCTCAACCCTACACCTCTAAACGGTAAACTCCCTAAACCGGTAAACTCCCTAAACCGCAACATACTTTTTATGCTTTCTGGGTTCTGCCTTGCGAAAATGTCCTTGCGCATTCTATGGCACACCCTACAAGCCTTTGGCCTATAACCATAAACCCTATACCCGAAGCAGTAGACCCCAAATCCGAAGCCCAAACCCTAAACGTTTTACTATATAATATGAATCTGGGTTCGGGGTATCTACAATATGCCCAAGGGCCATACGCCCACACCCTAAAAAGTAAACCCTGAACCCTAAACCCCTAAACCCTACACCCTAAACCCCAAAAGCCCTACACCCCTAGACCCTAAAACCCTAAACCCCTAAAACCCTAAGACCAAACCCCGCGGCCGGCGGTGTGCTGTCCAGGACTCCCCCAACGAACGGCCTTTCGAACTTAGGTTTAGGTTCTGTACAGTAGAAGCCCAAGAGTTGGAAACCCAACAGCCTCAATCTACAAAAGTATAGGGAATCCCAGCGCTATTTGGCCTTAGTCCGGTTTCCAACTTTATGGAGTCTACTATACTACTATACGGCCCCCAAGCTTGCTGCAGTCCATGCTAGAGGTCATAATGAGGGCTATATCTAGTTATACTAGAAATAGTATCGAATCTACCTGCCACAGACCGCAGTCAATACCCAGGGTTTAGGGTGCAGGTGGTTTCTGCAGCTCCCCTTGCAATTCTCCTCCGAGCTTCTACTTTGCTGATTCTGCGACAAACAGGTTAAGTCGGCCAAAAAACTGCAGTCAGAAGTGGTGACTGGAGATCGACCCCCCACCAATTTTCTTAGCAGACACAAACGGGAAAACGGAGAACTCAAACTCCGCGAATGCTTACGCTAGACCTCTATGTCCTTTAACTCTAAACTGCTCAAACTCTGAACTTCCAGTCTCTACACGGTGGACACCTACATCCGAAATATCACATCTACCATGATTAGCGATTAGTATGTTCATTGTCAACCTGGCTGGTTTTAGAGCATTAAAGTTGTCACATCAATACGCACTCTAAACCCGAGACCCTAAAAGTCAACCATGGTATGATTAGCTTGATTCTGTAGCAATGCTATCATTATAGGTTGACACTCACTAAGCCCTAAAAGAATAAGTCATAGAATGATTAGTATGAGTAGCCCTTATATACCTCCTCATATTAGCCCTTATAGTAGCCCTTTTCTACCTCCTTATGCTAGCCCTTCTAGTAGCCCTTTTCTACCTCCTTATAATTACCCTGGTAGCCCTTATAGACCCTTTTAAAGCAGCCCTAGTTCTAAGACTCCACAACCCCAGGGCGCTGTGGGCCGAGGCTCGAGCCTGCAGGCACTTCGTCGGGAGGCCTCCCAGGAGGAGCGCAGGGTTCAGGGACCAGCAAATGCCCAAACCCTCCTTTTTTGTTGGTTCTTTTTTTTCACACTAAAACAGGATTTATAGGGACCCTACAAAAAAGTAGGTCTTGGTAGACTAAGATAGGCTAGAGGTTCAGTTGGACGTCCCAAGCCCTAAACCCAAAACCCTAAACCCCAAACCCTAAACCCCAAGCCCTGCCTCATCCTGCGAGGGCCTTGGGGGCCTAGCCAGGCCAGGAGCAAACTGGCGCAGCCGTGGGAGATTCGCTCCATGTACCCTTATAGTAGATACTTAGGCCTTAAAGTACCTACATAGGGACCACTTTAAGGCCCAAGTATCTACTATAAGGGTACATGGAGCCTTTGGGTCTGGGGTTTCGTTCAGGAATACGGGTGGTTGTCAAATTAGGGTCCTTTGAAGGGGATCTATAAGGGATCTATAGGCTTCAAGGCTTTTAGGGTTTGGGGTTTTGTTCAGGAATACTAAGGGATTCATAAGGGTACTGTAATAATGTAGGAACAGTGGGTCTTCTTAGGGTTCCTTTAAAAGGGTCTTTCAGGATTACTCTAAGGGATTCATAAGGGTACTGTAATAATGTGGGAGCCTGATTAAGAAACCCTGGCCCTATAACCCCAAAATTAAATAGTAGGATTCTTATGGGTGTTGTCAAAAATAGGGTCCCTAATTGAGTACCCTAAATATTAGGTGCCGTATTATAATAAGGACCCAAAAAGGCACCCTAATATTTACAATCACCCACATAAGGGTTCCGGCTCCTGTAAGGGATCTATAGGGGTTCTGTTAAGGGTTTAGGGCTTAGGGTGGGACGCAGATAAGGGATTTATGAACATGTAAGGGTTTAGGGTTTAGGCCAGTTTAGGGGTTGGGTTCTTGTTCATAGTAAGGATCTAGAACAGGGGTTCCTTTAAGGGATCTATACGGGTTCCTTTGAGGGATCTATAAGGGTTCCGTTAAGGGATCTATAGGGGTTCTTTTAAGGGTATAAGCCGAAGACATTAGAGGGATCGGCGATGCAAAAAATCTAACCTCCCACACTGTACAAACGTTAGTGGATATGCTACAACGCCGGCGCGTATGGCGGACGATGAACGTCGGCTCGTATGGCGGGCGCAATAGCGACGAGCTGGGTGTAAGAGCAACGTCACAAAACTAGCCGAGCGGACTACTCAGGCGGTATCAGCACTTATGGCGGATACTTGGCACGAAAACGGCAACCAAGCCCTAAAAGGGGACTAGAACCGGAACCTAAACCAGGGCGGCGGAGGGTAAGGAAGGCGGGAAGGGCACACCAGGCAGGTCAGGCAGTAAAGGGAAGGCGCTGCGACAGGCAGGCTGGGCACTCGGCTTTTCAAGGTGCGGCAAAGGGGGAGGCCTCCTCCCCACCCTGAGGCAGGCGGCGGAGGACCGCACGTGCGTTTTCCCTTTGGAGAGTGATGGCGAGGCTTTGCAGGAGGCGATCTGTCTCTGCAGCAGGGGTGTCCCCAGAGCGAGCTGCGATGAGACCACCGAGCGTTCGCCACGTGGAGACGGCAGTCGGGCCCCACCCCCCACTGCAAGCCTCAGCGACGAGAGGCAGGAACTGAAGTCCCTCGGAGCGGCAGAGTTGGTCCGTGTGGAGGTGGTTCCGCTTCCGGGCTTCGTAGGACTCGACGGCTGCTTGGCTGGACCGGGCAGACTCAGCTAGCATCGGGCCGGCCTTGATGCCTGACGTGACAGCGAGGTCAAAGGCAGCAGGCCCTTGCAGGCCCCACTGAGCGACCCAGACATCTGCAGGTCTGCGGAGACCAGAGCCGCGGCCTCCGTCAGCCCCGTCGTCGTCAGGGCGTAAGGGGAGGAGGTCCGCTTTTTCAACTTCGACTCCGAGTCCAGTGGCTTGGCTGCGTGTAGCGACGACGGACCGGAGACGGTTGTGGCGTTTGATTCGGTCTCCGCCACACGGGCAGCACAGCGAGTGAGCGCCGAACCGGTCCGCTACACCATCGCAGAGTGGGCAGGCCACGTCGGTCGGCGCGACGGGCAGGCGCAGGCGGAGCTGGACCATTGTGCGGAACAAGCGCGGCTCGACGTGGAGCCCAAGAGCCTCGCTGGGCGGGGCGTGAAGCCAGGCACCGGCACCAGGCAGTTCGAGGAGGCGGAAGTGAGCTCTGTTAGCTTCACGTCCGGGGCTTGGGGTCAGGAGCCGTGAGGCCACCGCGCGGTCGAGAGCCTGGGACAGCTCGCGCTGTCGGGTTTGTGGCGGCACAGGAACGCGTAGGTGGTCGGGCGGGGCGACCTCAAGATTGTGGGTGGCAATGGCAGCGAGAAGGCCGGGGTTGTGGGCAAGGTCGTAGGCAGGGTAGAGGCCAATGCAGACCGCAACAGTTTGGGTGAGGGAGGCAACGTAGGCAGCTGGTGCGTGCAGGTTGGCAAGTCGGAGGCCAAGGCCACCGATGGACGTAGCAAGGGACGCCTGCTCCCAGGCCTCCGTGGTGAGTGGCCCGTGCACATGTGTTCAAGGCAAGCGCGTACCTCAGTGTCAAAGGCAGCCAAGGAGGTGCGGAGTGCTCCGGGTGGGGTGACACGTGAGGAGTAAGAAACGCGGCAGAACGAGGCACAGTGCCGGAGAAGCAGGAGGCCGGTCTGGACGTCGGGCAAGGCCGCAAGCTCGCGGAGCAGCGGACGGGCCTTCTCGACTCGCTCAGTCATGGTGAAGGCCTCGCAGTAGTGGGCGGGGCCGATGGGGGCCCCAAGGAAGGAGAAGGCACCACTAGAGTTGGTCAAGGGTATAAGGATTTAGGATTAAGTTACCATAATCAGGAAACAAGAACCCTGGATTGGGGGCCAAGACGGGGTATCAGTTTGAGGGATTATGGGTTTGGGTGTTCGGGTGTCTCCTCATAAGGCGTTGTATAGTCCATAATGTCATTCATGCCAGTCCGGGGCTAACCGGGTCCTTTCCATTATGGAACCGGGTCCTAGGACTTAGTGTGTTCTTGTCCTAGGACTTATGATGTTGATGTGACATGGAATGTAGCAAGACATGTGTTCTTGTGGCTCAATGGAAGACATGCTGGACATGTGAAAACTTGTGTTCTTGCGGCGCAATGGAAAACAAGACCTGAAAACTTGGTCTCTTCCAAATGGAGATGCATACCTGAAAAACTGTGTTCTTGTCGCTCTATATGGAAGAAGCGAGATGCTGGACATGTATAAAAAGATGTGTGCTTGTGGCTCGATAGAAAAATCAATGCCTGAAACTTGGTTTGATCGAAATGTGAAACATATACAGCGAAAAATCAAAGCCCTACTGATATAATTGCCTGTCCCAAGTTTTGTAGTTCACATGGAAATTAAAGTTGCCAAAAAAATGAAAATACGTTTATGCCGAACAAACCAAACAAATGTAACTTGGTGTTCTTGTGGCTCAACGGAAACAAAAAGCTTGAGATTTTGTGTTCTGAAACCCTAAAGTCAGCTGTTTGTACGATTCAGAACAACTTTAAAATTAGCATGTTCATGATTAAACATGAAGGGAATCTGAACTTTCGTAACGTCCAGCCCATGCCCTAAACCCTCAACCCTAAACTCTAAACCCACCCAACCCCCAAACCCGCCCACCCATTCAAGCCCAGAAGCTGCAGGTAGGAAGGGGCACACAGGTAGGTAGAGAGGTATAGTTAGGTAGGCAAGTAGGTATGGATAAGTAGATAGGCAGGAGGGAAGCTACTTGTAGGTGTAGGTGCGTCGGCAGGCTTCCAGGTCCGTAGGTAGGTAGATAGATAGCTAGGTAGGCGGGCATGTAGGTAAGGAGGCATTATGAGGAAAGAGGTTTAAAACCCCTAAACCCCTAACCCCTAAACCCTGAACCCTAAATCCAAAACCCGAAACCCTAAACTAACCTTCAACCCTAAAAGGTAGCAGGCAAAAGTAGTTGTAGGCATTCGTGCAGGCCCTGTCAGGATGTCAGGTGGCCACATCAAGGGCTTCGGAGCCCCGTACAGGGGCGTACCCGCGCCAAGGCCTGAATGGGCCGCGGGATGAACCCCGAATAGGGGTGAGCTTGGACCCCGAAGAGGGGTCGTCGGAGCCCCGTACAGGGGCGTACCCGCACCAAGGCCGAAAGGGCTGCGGGATGAACCCCGAAAAGGGGTGAGCCTGGACCCCGAACAGGGGTCGTGAGAACCCCGTGCAGGGGTGTGGATGAACCCCGCACAGGGGTGAGCTTGGACCCCGAACAGGGGTCGTTAGAGCCCCGCACAGGGGCGTACCGATGAACCCCGAAAAGGGGTGAGCCTGGACCCCGAACAGGGGTCGTGAGAACCCCATGCAGGGGTGTGGATGAACCGCGAACAGGGGTGAGGATGAAACCCGAGCAGGGGTGAGCCGGACCCTCAAAGACTGATGCAGAGAGAGAGAGAGGGAGAGAGAGAGAGACACAGCGAAAATAATTAACGAAGCAAGGAAGGAAGCAAGGAAGGAAGGAAGCAGGGAAGGAAGAAGGAATGAACAAGATGAGGGTGTGACTGTAGATGCGAGGAATGAGCAGGCAGCAAGGAGTGATGTGAGGGAGGCGGGAAGGGAAGGAAGAGAAGGAAAGTCATGCATGGCATCAGTATCCCTCTGCTCACTTTCAGTCTGTCGGCGGCCAGGCTGAGACAGTATGCGCATCGAGATCCTCGAAGAGCCCCGGCCTAAGCCACACGGCATTCCAAGACTTGACGGCTGCACCATGGGTTGCTTCCAAGCTCAACATGTTGAACTGCAGCAGCTTTTCAGCTCAAGATTCAACGCGATCGAACCGTTTTTGTCTGAGCGAGTGTACTCCGACTGAGGCGATTGTCCTCATGCAAACAAGGCAGTATTATTGACATGCGCATACACGCAGATCGTCAAAGACACGACTAGGAAAGAAGTGCCCCAGTTCGACGTACTGCCACGGAAGTGCAGCAATGGATCGAACGGATTTTGGCAGGCTTCATGGACCTGAAGGAAGTGACGATGACGATCGAACGACTCCTTATCATTCGGATGATAGCGATGGTTCCGCGGCCGATGCCACTACGGACATGGAAAGAAACATGTTTACGAGAGAAGAATTCCAGCGAATCTGCACCGACCTGGTGCTGGGATGTGTCATGATGAACTTGTCAATGGGATGGCAAATGGAGCGGGCTTTTTGAGCGATCGGCAACTACGAAGTTTGCTACAGCACTTCCAAACCAAGCACAACAGACGCGGATCCTCTGCAGGTGATATTGTGGAAGCAGGTGTACAGGAACGGATTCCAACAATGCAGAAAGTACGCATGGTTCGACAATGCGACGTACTCCAAGGAAAGTTGCGAATGGAAGTGAACCAGGTAGATGCAGAGAGATTGCGGGGCTTGGTTGAGCAGCCTCCCGGCTGGGATTGGGATTTGCCTGATCGAGGAACCATGGAAAGGCTTTGCGAGGGCATTCTGGCCAACTCGTTTGAGTTTGAACGGATTCCAGTGACGGATGCTAGACGGATGGCAGTTCAATACTGCGAGGTCATCCGTCCACTGTTCGCTGTGAGGTTCCTGTCAATGGTTTTGCTGGGCATGCGGGACACGTACAGAGATCAGCTTTGGTTTCTGCTTCGCAGGCATGGAAGAGTCCTCAACGTATAGACGGACTGTACGTATAAGCAGTCTCACAAAAAACTTAAAAAGGGACTGATGTACGGATACACAGTCTCACAATAAACCAGGAATGGCGAGAAAAAACGTCTCAGTTGCTTAACAAATTGCTTGACGTGCCTTACTAATTGCTGGACCTAAACCCTGAACTCGTCGACCTGAGGTCAAGCCTTCTTCATGCCAAATTCGCTGGCAAGATCGACATTGTGTTTGGAGGCTCGTCCGGCTGCTCATGTTTGCATAACCCCTAAACCCTAAACATCCGGCCGGTACCACTACAAGATTGCGCGCCCGGCACGCGTACGCCTGTGCGCCCGGAGCGCGTTCGCCTCAACTCCCGGCGCGCAGACCTGTGCACGTTGCAAACAGACTAAAGAATTGTATTATCACGTCCGGCACGCCCGGCGTGCACCCGCTGCGCGCCCGGCGCGCGCCCGCTGCACACCCGGCGCGCGCACCCTGGGTATATTTGGTTTTGGGTGGTAAACGACCGCCACATGTCATTCCTGCGCGCCCGTCGCAACCCGCTGCGCGCACATGTGTAAATTCTGTTGCAAGCATAATATTATGGAATAGTGTAAATATAGTATAGTACACGCTTACACTTCGCGCGTACGCCTGTACGTGCGGCACGCGCCCGCCCGCGCGCCCAGCGCGCGCGCCCGGCGCGCACCGTTGCAAGCAGAATATTATGGAATAGTGCAAATATACTACACGCGTACACTTGCTACGTATACACCTGTGTGCCCGGCGCGCGCCGGACGCGTGCCGGGCGCGCGCCGGGCGCGCGCACTCGGCGCGCGCCGTCGCAAGCATTATTATTATGATTATTATGCTATTGAATGAATTGAATGTTCATTTCAATGAAGCATTCAACTCACATGTACAGCTGCCCTCCCGACGAAAAGAAATACTCGGTATTTATGGTTTTGCGTCAGTTTACCGCCCGCCACGCGTACTCCTGCGCGCCCGTCGCGCGTATGCCTGCAGGACCCGCTGCGCACACATCCGTAAAATGTCGCAAGCAGAATAATATTATCGAATTTGTAAATATACTTGCACGGCCGGCGTGCGCATGCGTAACGCAAGCAGAATAATATCCAACAGTGTAGTAACTTTACTAGGATTATTAACGAAATTCAGTGAGACCAATAAGTCTGACATGTGCGCCCGGCGAGTGCACCTACACCCTGTGGCGCAGACACAGGTTCAAGGCATCAACTGCAGAGCTTACCTACATAGTAGATGAAAGCCATGAAATCCATGAAAGCCATGAAGGCCATGAAGGCCAAGAAGGCCGCCAAGCAGGATGGCAACACGAGGGCAATGAAAGCCATGAAAGCAATGAAGGCGGCCAAGGTCCAACACAACCACGGCAATGTGAGGGCAATGAAAGCGATGAAAGCGATGAAAGCAAAGAAGGGCAAGCAGCGATCGGGTCAAAGTGGTCAAAGTGGCTGGCAAGCATGGAGAAAAAAGAAGGGTTCTGCTGAGAAGCAAGCTGTACTACATGCGCAGGCACCTGAAGGCGAAGAGGACAACACGGACAACACGGACAACACGGACAGCGAGCAGGAGCTGCCCGGCAACGAGAAAGCCACGCAAACACCTCCGATTATCAGACGTTTGCGAAGAGCACGTGACATGGAGGATCGCTTGAATTGCTTTGTGTCGGCATGCAAATACTTTCGTGTCGACATAGGCATGCTGGTCAGTATGGTTATTGTGATCACGACAGGACCTGCGACTGGAAGGATATGATTCCTGGCCCAGCAACCGTACCCGGGCTATCATTGGGAAGACTTTATTCTGCTCGTGGGCCGTTTTCTCAGAAATTATCGCTGCTGCGGACCAACGGTCTGATTCGAGGTCGCGCGGTGATGGATTTAGGAAGCCACGAAGCATTAGACCTGGGCGGCTGCCTGATCTACAGACCGGCCGTGACAGGCCTCCGGTGAGTGGTGTTGCCGCAGTGACTGGTATGTATTACTGCCGTTACATAGATCTGAGAAGTTCACCTAAAGAAGTAGAGGAAACTGTCACGGAT